CTGTCGGATATAATCCAACGCCCTTCGTGGTATTAGCCAGGGGAGTAGTTGTTTTCTGATAGGTGTCAGTCCATTAACCTACTGTGTAGGGTGTTGAGACTGGCCTGAACGAATTGTTCTTTTAGATGATTTGTTTTCAGTTCAGTTTCAGTTTGATTCACCCCAATAAACGTGAATTCAAAGTATTTTTCACGAAGAAAAATGTTTTATTTATCAGTTACTTGTCGTATTTCATACATTTGTATACCAAAAAATGGCTCAGAAATTATACAGATACTTATTTTAATGTTTCGTCAGAATTGGAAAAATTTTCAAGATATTTTCTTGGCGGGTTCGCTTTATTTTCAAACGTCATCGACAAATGTCAAAGGAGTTTTGAAATGTGAAATATGTCGTTATTGCTGATTACCTTCTGAAATATTCGATACAGTACAAAATATTCTCTGTTAATATTATTTTTTTTAATTTGCCACAATCCATCTTTTTTTAAGCCGGGTAGCCGAGTATGATCTATTTCCTAGGAGCTGTTGGAAATAAATCTTTCTAATTTTGATTGGCAATCATTCAACGAATATTGTTCTATTCAACTTGATGTTCGCTGTTTGATTTCAAAATGTGTTACGACAATTTTATTTCTGTTACTTATCTATTTCTAATATAATATCGCTATTCATTCTTACGCATTATCAATGGTCTTTAATGGTAAAATTTCACTAACATACCTATCCCAAGATCAAAGTATCTTATTAATGCAAATATTTCGTCTTTCTTCCGTCTTGTTATATTCAGTATGCGTCTGTATAAATCTCAGTAGAAGTTGTCGACTATTTGTTGTTTTGTTTTGTAAGAAGTTCTAACGTTAAATATATTTCCAATTCGTCTCATATTCTCAAATAGTTCTAGAATGGAAGGTATAACGTTGTTGTGAAAGGTGTCGGTGGTTGTTGAGTCGCTGACTGTTGAGTTGCTGGTTTTGAATATTTGATGCTGTTTGTAAAGTCATTTGGTTTTTTATTGCTAAGAAGCTCAAGAAGCTAAGAAATATGCTAGCATAAGCTATTCGGGAAAGCTCTCCAAAAACATAAAAAGCTATTTTTCAAATCCTAATATAATTACATCATTTACTGATGAGAATAATTTAGAGAATATGTTATTCAACGAAAAACCCAAAAGAGATAAGTGAAAAAATCGGACATACATAGCTTAGAATGTGGTGACTGTTCAGCAGTTTATACAAGCCAGATAGGCAGAAATTTCAATACAAGATACCGACAGCATGTATTATCAGATGAAAAATTAGCTATATATGGACATCTATCAGAAGCAAATCATGCGAAAAATAAAGAAACCATGAGAATTCTCCATACGTGCAATAAATGAAGGGGGATGAATTTGTTGGAAGCATTGAAAATAAATGAATTATACAAAAACCCCAATTCCAAAACGCTTAATAAATATCTAAAATGGAACAATGCAGCTCTCCCCTTTTGAATTTGTGAATCTTTGACAACTAGTTTAGGATCCATTGGTAGCTTGAAAAATCCACAAGTAGGGTTTTTGTGATCAATAATTGGTAATCGTGATATAGCAGTGAAGATATTCAGTTATAACTAATTAATGCAGTTCATTGTATAATTTTCACTAGGAAGGGTTTTACAAAAACTGCGACACGTGTTTCGTGACACGTGTATTCTGTTTACTCTCTGTTTAAACTCTGTTTTTCCGTTAACCAGCTGTCGCACCCCTACGAACGACAACCCTCAGAAGTTGAAACTTGTGCGAGCTAAGGATTAACGAGGTCTTACCTTTTAATGTGTGATTCCTAACATGGGTTGGACGGTAGCAAGTGAAGATCGATCGTTCAGACTAGGGCTTGAACCATCGACCAACACGGCAGTCAATTCGAGTGAGTGAACAAAGCACCCACGCCGAACCGCTTGGCTACCGACCGACCGTTATTTGATTTGTTTATTTTCATACCCTTCAACAGGTTGAGTTTCAAACCTATCTTCTGGAAAAGGAGGGCCTTGAAGTCATGGTTGAACTTATGTCATATGGGGAATTTATTTTCACATTCTGGAAACTATTTCGATGTTCCTTCATGCGGGTTTTGAACGTTCTTCCCGTCTGACCTATATAAACTAACGGACATGACCCACATGATAATTTATGCACTCCCGATTTTCTGAAACTGAACTTTTATCTTTGTTATTCCTAATGTGCATGCCTGAGTTGTTGTTGGTTTTGAAAGCAATATTTTCACCTTTGTTGTGCTGAAAATTTTAAATATTTGTAGTGAATGGGTTGACCTAAGCAGGTTAAGGTTCTATAACTTTCATCCTCATCTCTTTAAATTGCGTAAACTTTTTTCAAAGCTTCGCTGCACAACTTTCTTGATAACAGTATTAGACTGCTATCATAATCATTGTTGACGGCTATTTGTTTTATTATGATCAGTTTTCTATTGAAATTCGCCTCAATAGTCAATAATCTGTTCATTCCTGTGAAATATACCAGGATATTATTCACATATCTATGCCATTACACGAAACTTCTAACCAGTGGGTTACTGTGTATTTTTCCTTCCAAATCGTCCATGAAAATCTCTGCCAGAATCAGACTGAGTGGGTTTCCCATTATGAGACCTTTGCAGGATTGCAAACATTTTTTCATTGAATTGGAAGTGATTCTGTGACAAACAAATCATAAGCAAGTCTAATATTTCATTTTTCACTACCGGACTGATAGATCTTTCATCCCATATATTCTCTACAAGAGTAATTGTTTCATTCGGATGAATACTGGGAAACAGTTTCTTTGCATCGATTGAAATCAATTTGGCATTATCCAGGAGTGTAATATCTTGAATTTCATTGATTGAATTGTATGATTTCTTCAAACTGTATTTTGATTTGAAACTGGTGTGAGTTTTTACCGGAATGAGCTGTGTAATTTGATCAACGGATAAAATTTAGGTGGTTTAGGTTTAAGAAGTGTCAATTTTCATTTTTCAAATCACAGAGCAATCAACAAGATGCTGTCAAATTCTGTGTACGGTTTTTCATTCATTTCTTTCGAACCTTGTCGCTCTGTGATAGACTCTCAGTTTACGGTAGTTTTCCTCTAGCCGATTCAAATTCGACCATGTCGTATTCCGAAACCTTCTTCAAAATAGTCACCCCTACTTCACAACCTGCCACTCCTGGAGACGTTCCGTCCGGCCGCGGCCACCAAACAAATTCATCAGAGCACCCTCTGACAGTCGAAAGTGTCCGCTTAGGGTGCGTTCCCCGGTGCTTGTTTGGCATACTCTTTTTATCCATCCATTATCATTCTAATTATTTACGCGGAGTGGCGGTGGATCGAATAACCAAACTAACTAAGTGGCAGGCCCTCTCCATCACTTTGTGCCCCCCGTCCCTATAATGATTCTGGATGGATCGTGATTAGGCCATTGTTTGATAAATTATTGGCCCATCATATTTTCCTCTCGAAAAACCTGTCGCAGATGTTTGCAAAAAGGGGCGCAATTGGTAAAAATGTGGCCAGATTGTTGCAGTATCGATGACTGACCGTATGGTTGAATTACAGAAGCACAGTTGGGTTTTTTGTCAGAAGATGAGGATGTTCGCTTTGTTTGTTGATGGACTATTATGAAGTGGAGCATTATACAAAAAAATTGAAACGCATTGAAATCAGCAGGTATCAAACCAACCATAAACTAGGTATCTGGACGCCAGCTGTCCCAATAACATATATGTGCTACATGAACATACAACTACATCAAGGAAGTCATCATCAAGTTTTCAGAAAGTTCAGAAGCATTTCAAGTGTTGTGATAATGGGTTTATTGAACATGCTCCAGAAAAATCAGCTGTGATGTTCTTCACTCAGCATAGACTGAGAGCCGAAGACAACGTTAATCTGGGCTCTCGGTCTATCCCAATTATACTTCAGTACCAGTACATTATAGAAAATATATTTTCTATTATTTCTACAGATTTTGACAGATAATATTCATCCAAGCTATATGTGAGAAATCCTTTATTCATACAAGCACTTTTGTAGAAACCTACAGCTTTAAAAGTTGAAATGCTTGCTACTGATACCAATTCATTTTATAGAAGGACGCCATTTTAAATGATAGCGATCCGGGATACTGAAATTAGATGAGTTGAAAATATGAAATACCGCATATATAGTTATATTTACAGCTGAAAAGTACATGAATATCATAACATTATATTATTTAGAATAAAGTGAGTTGAATTTGCGACTAGAAAATTAATACGTCGACAGAGTGAATTTTTATATAATTAATAATTTTACCGAAAACATTTATAAATGAGCGGCGCGCTCAAATTTTGCTAATGATAGGCTATATATTTGTCAATAAAATTTCATTTGCAGTAAAAATATCAATCTTCGAAACACAAACAATGTCTTTAACAGTTTTATGAGTGCAAAAGTGGAATTAATAAAATGGCTTCAACCTTTCTATTTGTTAGTTTTCAGTTGGTGACATATCTATTACATTTTCCTAGTGTCCAATGCAAAATAACTTCTTGCGTTTTCAAGAAAACATTTTCAACACTTTTTTATTTTATTGTTATCGTTTTTGGCTGTATTATATTTTATAACGCCTACTTGGAATTACTAAAAAACTCTTATAAAACTGTCTTCTGATTATTTTATAAGTATCGCTTAAATATGTTGCAAAAGTGCAGTAAGGAAAGTCTTTACAAAACTACTTTTTAAGAGCGTTAGACAAATTTTATAGTTATTGCAAAAATGTTTATAAAACTCTTTTGTA